GATATAAAGGGCGGTCCGACCTCAGGGTCGTTACGCCTATTCCGCCAAAAAGACAATCAGTTTTGTGACAACCGTATCACGAGCGAATTCGGCCTCTAGTTAGGCCTTAAGTCACTCACAAGCGCAACCTCTGACCTCAGGAAGAAAAGCATGCTTAAATCTACTTGAAAACTTTTTAAGATCTTCAGAGCAAATTGACGCCATTCAGCGACAAAGCTAGCCATTCGACCCATGTGCTATGAGTCTTCCTTTAAACAAGCGACTAAACTCTAAACTATAGATATAAAGATTTTTCAGATTTGCTTATTTATTATATTATAAATAGATGTAATGTATTGCAACATTTATCGTTGAACTCTCACACAGGTGGAACCAGACAAGGATAGCTAATTGGTTAGATCAAGAAGGAGCAACAAATGGCCTTCAGCCAAGTTGTTTCGTTGCACTATAGTACAGTGTCGTCATTTCTGTTCGCTAACCGCGTCTACATACATAATACATTTTTATAACTTTTTCACAACAACGTAGCGTCTAGTCACACGGACCGGCTCCACAGGGTCTCATTTGTAAATAAATAAGGTCGAGCTAAATAGGTCAAGAGTACCAATGGTGATACCAAACCATCTGATAGCACCACTGAAAACAGGCCAGTTTTTACCGACGACATTGGAGCATCCCTTCGATTCGAATTTCGCCCCTGCAACCGGTGTAAGAGACGCAGTGAACTAGTTAGGCGTCCCAGAAAAAAACAGATCCTTACGGCCTAGGCAGACACAGCAAAAGAGTCCCCACGGGACAATTCGAACTGAATTCACCGTTCTCTAGACAGGTATATATGGTGGATAGTCCTTAAAGAGGCAGGTACGATCGTCGGACATTATGGAGCAACGACTACAACAATTATTACCAACAGCTACAGCTGGAAAGATTCTATTAAAGCGTTTTGCTGTGCACAGTGATTTGCGATATACTAGGGTTCTGCACGACAAGAGCTATGTCCTTCGGGCAGCAGAGCCTTCAGCTGTGGTGTGTGGATGGTGTCAATCTATTCGTGTCTGGTTCACGATGCTGTGGTGGACGCCTTACCTCTCAGGTGCGGATAACTTGGTCTCGATGAATGAAAATGTGGTCTATTTTATTACTAATAATTGCAAACACCACCGGTCTGTAGCTCAAAGTCAAGGATTTAGCGCCACGGTGAACTTCTATGTCCGTGATATTTTTTATCCGCCGTTGCGGCATCATTAACCGTAGTGGGATCTTTGTCAAAAGTGAGCTTGGCCTCGTCATACTCGTTCGTGTTCGCCTAACCTTCCTCTGTCTGTTACCCGATTGAAGGGAGACAACGTCGGTCTGAGTCAGAACCGCAACTGCACAACAGTCGAAAATGTTCTACTCTTTATTGTGTGCAGCAATATAGACGAAACTGGGCACCTCCGCATTTCCAGCGTTCATTCACGATTCGATTGTTATTTAGTAAAGCTTTCCGATCTGCTTATTTAACAAATCGCGTGAGGTATAGAGACGCATCGATAATGCCCACGACGGCAACAACAACGATGGCAGAGACATAGGCTGTGAAGGCCCGTTGTTCGTGAAAAACGCTGAATGGTTTTGTCCACAGGTTTCGACGACTCCGTCACCAGCCGATCATCCTGAGCCGCAGATCGGAGGAGAAACAGTAGGAAGCATCAGGAGACTGACGCCAGCGGCGGCGGAAACAAGCCGCTACGAAAAGCCAGTTACACTGGCCAGGATCACCTGTTATTGCTGCTTGCGTCGAGGTGTGTGTATTAACAGTAAATAATTGGGTTTTTGCCTTCGAGCAAAAGGGCAGGCAGTTTTTTCGTATTTCGAACGTAAAGCGAAGACGACAAAAACAAAGACGCCGTTGATGAGAACAGCATACTGACTGCTGGATTTTGGTAATGAGTAACTCGTTGAGAACTCCCATTAGAATTATGCTGGGGATCGTGCAATGAATATGGAGTACTTTAGATTATGCTTTTGAGGAACGCATGTTATGTATATTTATTGCGTAGATATGAAGGTGTTATTTGCTGTCCCTCAGTGTATGAATGCCTATGGATTGAGGTCTGCAATGTCCTGGATGATTTTTTGACTGCTTGCACTTGATTACTGTGACCATATTGAAAACCAGAGCTGTTGGTGTTCTGAGAAAGTTTCTGACGAGGCATGACAGACTGATGAATACAATGTGTAGCAGCGTGATGTTGATTAGGTGCTTTGAACGCGGTGATACGTCTATAATTTTTCCAGCTTCTTATTGTCATCACCATAACAGGACTCATATTATAGTCCGGTACCCTGGTGCCACACATCGTGGGGTAGTAACGTTATAAACTTCGCGAGAAAACTCATCTCTCCGCTAGCCTTGCAAATCCTTTTAGTCATCGAAACAGGAGATCTCCTTGAGAGCCGAACACAAAACACGAACACGTCCCGCTTATGTGTATAATGGCTTCGCCATTGCTTCCTCTGTACGACGCTACATCATTATTACTGTGCCTGCGAACTATGTCACGGTGTTAGAATCCTGAAACGGTGAGAAGCCTATGGGCCTGACACCCGACGGGCACCACCCAAGTTGTCACTTATGAAGATTTGCAACTTTAACCGTTCACGATTCTGTACATTCGCGCGCAGCCGAGGTCATCGTGAATAAGCCATAGGCTCGTAGAACCCCCGGTCGGCAGACAAAATGCTGCCTCCATCCCCCCTCATCGTCTGCTTCATTCGTGTCCGCAAACGGCGAAGTAGTTGCAAAAAAACCAGCAACCAAAGTTACCACTGCGTACAGTGTAACTAATGCAGCAATACACCTAGCCGTGACGAAGACCGGGCCCCTATCAGCCCATCGTCACCGTCAAGATAGGTTATGAGGAACGTGCCCATAAAAACACGTACATTTTCGGTCTCTGTCAATCCGCCTCGCATTCCCATAGACGCGTTGCTGAAGCATGCGTGCACGCACGCACGGGCAAAGGGGAGAGCGTATGGCGAAAATAAAGGAACAAGGCTTAACCATGCTTGTCGTAAGTAGCCTGCTTGCTACACCCAAATGTCGGGCAGTGTTGGAGTAAAGCCATGTGCTTTCTCCTGCACCACTTTTTTATCAGTCGTCTATCGGACACACACTGACCCTTTGGGGGGGCCCTACAACGCGAGTAAAACCTTTCATCATCCCTCTGTTGATCTGGCCAATCAACAACGATCTCTTCTGTACGTAGCCAAGTAGCATAGTACAAACAGTTACCACCAATACTACTGCAGCGCATTTAAATTGTCTATATAGAAAAGGAAAGAGAGTGGTGAACAACAACCAACCTCCAAGACAACTCCAATAGCCTCCTGCAGCGTTTCTATCCATGGTAGCGCCGTGGTCTCGGTTATGTTCGACCGCAGTGGGCCGTTCGTCTGTCTACTTTCGGGGCCTTTTCTGCCTTTCGAGCCGCTTCTGCCAGCCTTGTTGTCTATTTCCTTTCACCTCACTCTGTCTTTCGTTCTCTATAGCGGGTGTCTGTAAGCGGGTGCAGCGTCCCGCTCCGGGGGGACATAATGTGAACGCTACTGGCCGGTGCCTGCCCCATGTACTGCTATGGTTGCCTTGTCTCTTTATGCGTAGCAACAGAAGCAGCGGCACGAGGAGGTTCTGACAAGACACAATGCGAGTCAGACGGTGTGGCCCCTTGGTGGCGACCACTCTTCTTTGCTGGCTGGTACATGCACGCGGCTGCCGTCCTTGTTGCCGCTAAGAGGGAAAAGCGCCGTACCGCACCATAAGCGAATATGCAACGTGCAAAGAATAAGGAGCCGTCAGGTAGCTAGGCCAAGCCGGCAGCCACGACCGTGTGATACGTTTACTGCATGACGTGATCGAACGTGGCAACAGCGTCAACGATATAGGAGGAATGACGATGTATCCGAAAGACGGTCTATACTAAAAGGTGGGCCTTGTACCGAAGGCCTTAGGCAGAAGCGGTGTTGATACGGCTACCCTGGCTTAGCATATCCAGGAGAGCATACATTTATCCATCACCTATAGAAGACAGCAACGCCTGTTTTATCAGCGAACATTTAGGAGCCGTCGTCGTCGCCGACATTGCTTGTTCTTGCATTGCTCTGACCAGGTAAGTTTACGTCGTAGGATTTCCTCACACGCGTTTCGCTTTTTTATCTCCATCGATAATTGAATATAGTAATATGCATTACACAAAGTGTTACGGGTTGTTTGAAAACCCTGTGCAAACGGTACAGTGCAGGGGCTTAGCGTCCGGTACATCGTATTCTTTCATTTATTTACGTGGATCGCTTGGTAGATGGTCACATGGAAGCGTCACATAGTCGCCGAAAGAGGCCGAAAATTCTATTATCTATTATACTGAGAATTTGCCGAAAACTAAGGCCGTTAGCGACTGTATTGGGAATAGTCACTATAGGGTTACATAGTTCCGTATAAAATAAATAGAACCACGAGGAATGGAAGTCTTCTGTTATATTAGTAACTGCAAAATGAGGGATCTGACCATCAACTAGCCGTGCACTATGTATACCATACTAGGAGGAAAATCATCACCGGCTTCTGATATGCGCTACTTAACGTGTGATCAGATGAATTGCAACGTATGGGATCACTCATGATGAGATCACATACGCTAACATTATAGTAGACGAAGTTTATTAGCTGTTTATGCATAATAATGAATGGAAACAATATTTCGAGGGCTCGTGATGGCTAGAGGACAACGTAAAATAGAGCAAGCTTTACTTTTTTTAACCATGAGATTGGAAAGAGCAACACAGATATCAATGTATTTATCTACTCAACCTTTCGTCAAGGCACTGTTCGGTCCGATATATCCCCATCTTTCGACCTTTAAAGTGTACATGAATTCACGTTATACTGCTATACTTCGGTACCGCCACACATGCGGCTCTGTAAATAGGGAAAAACTTTTCCGAGGTTTCATTGTACGTACCTGTATAACGCGCATATTCAATCCTGTTTCCTGTGCGAGCTGTTCCCGAATATGCCGGGTAGGTTTCGGTGTCGCCGCAAATGCGGCCTTTAGCGTCTCGAGTTGTTTGGCCTTGATTGTGGTACGGGGTCCTCGTCGCTTCTGGCCTCCGCTGCCGTCGTCAGCGGCCGCGGCCGTCCCAGAGTCTGGACCCGAACCACCCGAGTCAGGCCTCTTGAGTCCCGCTAAATCTGTCATTTGGAGCTGGTTGACGTTTGGACTGTTCTGACCACCTGCCGTTGCCGGCAGTTGAGTCAGTGGTGGTTGCGGGCTCTGTGGGCCCAACGAGAGAAGATCCCGTTCTACCGAATCTTCTCGAGGTTCCCGTTCTAGCAGAAGCTCGGACTGGCTGTCTTGCGTCTCATCGAGGTCGAGCGAGTGGTCACCAGGTGAAGATGACATCACTGAAATAGATATAGGACAAAATAGATAAATGGAATACAAATTCAGCTTTGTGCGTGAACTTATGGAAAAGCCTCAAATCTATCGCTTCTCCAGGTGCAGTACCTTGTTTATGTTTAGTCGAGTTAAAAAAAAAAGTACATTGTCAAAACATCTAGGTAGAGGGTCTGTCTACCCAAGCAAGTAAGTTCACAACATGAATTGAACATTCAAGTAAATATATCGATGTATTATTGACTACAGAAACAATAACGTAGACGTACTGTTCACTGAAGGAGAACGTTTCTTTTTGCCGCTAGATATAGCACAAATTTATCTCTCTCGTTTGCAACATCAACATGCGTGTAGAGCTTCGTTAAGAATAATGGAGGCGGAGGATCATGACTGGGCAAAAACTGACATTTTTTAGGTGCAACTAGGCGATCCGAATGGATGTAGCATATATATATGACCGATAGGAAGCATTCAACACGACCTCATCGGGCACTCTAACTGGAAAGACCTTACGAACAAGAGTGTAAAACATACTGCCACAGCGTATTACTGAAGTGATATGACTGTTAATTTTATATTAAATAGTTTGTCTACAATAAACTATACGTGGCCAATCTTCATGCGAAAACCTACATTATCCGAACACAGCATCGAACGGGTTGCTTGCGGTTACAAGGCACCAAATGCCATATTTGCAGGGCCTTTGTAGAAAGACTGATATGGGTGAAAAAAGTGGTTTCGATAGAACATCAATTTCCCTACACACCTAACTGCGAAAATAAATTTAAAAAAAAAAAAAAAATGTGAGTTACTGTATTATAGGGGATGAGTATACGACTTGGTCGCAGTTAAAATTTTCTAAAATCATATACAGAAATATAACCCCACAGTCTGACGATGTAGATCCTAATGAATGAAGAAGCCTTCTTGTTTTGTATTCCACAAATCTTGTAGGCCAGGCTCGCTGAATCCACGAACACATTATCAGCTGGCGATGATACCTCTATGCAGAATCTACACCATCAAAGCACCGATCGACAGCATTTTGTCCGCGTATTGTGGTCTAAGTAGAACCAACAAGATTCAGACAGCTAAAGATTTGCTGAGGATAGAAATAAGACCGGGAACATAGTAAAGGAGCAATAGCTCGTCTCTTCTCTTCTTTCTGGGTTTTTTGGATGGATCTGAGACTTCGATACGGATTGGTACTACCGCAATCCTATTGGAGGTCGGTGAAGCTGATCGGCCCACCAGCTACTGTACGGGTTACCCCAAAATCTCAGAGGCACCATTCCAGTAAAGGACAGGGAAGTCCGCGCGTGACAAGATGGGGTAATCAGCCAACGAAGAGGGGCGAGCGGGACGGCACAAGCAACCGCGTTTGTATCCACGAAAGCCCACAAACGAAACAACAGTTTTAGCGCGCGCTGCATGACTCGCGCGGTGATCGCATCGTCCTGCAGATGCCACCAAAGAGAGGTCGGCCGCTGCTGCTGCTGCGTCTGCCCCTAGCAGCTTGCCGGCAAAATCGTCTCAGTGTCTAATAGCTTTGGCTTGTGGACCCTGCCGTTACTCCGTCAAAAGCTCTGCCGGACTCTGCCTAGAGGGTTGCAGGGGCATAGACAGGGCAACGAACGGGCCAAGCATGCTAGCCACGTCCTGTCCATTAGGCTGATCGATAGACTGGCAACCCGCTTTTTTCTGCGTTTCGTGTTTTCGGTCTGTCCCTCTCGCTGTCAGTCTTGCCAGGAGACTCTATATGAATGGTGGCATCCAATAGCAGTGTGAGGCTAGTTGTGTGGTGGCCATGGCCGCAGGCTAATACTCCCGACCACCATTCGCTGTGGCAGGGAGGCGAGCTGGAGGCGATGCGAAGATTGAGGTAGAGGTGAAAATTATCTACTCGTAAAAGTCCTTCTTTATAGCCTATATTCATATAGTTTTTTGCATTGACAACGCACTTGACAGAAAGGTAAAAATGTAAGACATTTGCGGGTGCAATTTTCGATCTGGAAAAGTTATCTAGACTAAACAAACCATCAGTTATATACGTCGACAAGTATTCTATATATTCTGTTGACGTCGCGTTGCGGTTTTCTATAACTTTTAGGTAGCGAATTAATTTCGACATGCTGTATATACTTACTTCCATCGAGTGGTGTCAACGTGTTAGTTCCCGTACAGAATATGCCGTAACTGGCGCTACCTGTAATTAAAAGAAAAGACAATGGTTTGTTATAATACAGGATATAACGCAACTCGAGATCCGATTGCCTTCCGTAACCACTCACAGTTTCAAATCTTGGGAGACAGCTGCTGGCGAGTTATCTTCCCTGCTAGTGCACGATTCTTATGGAATAAACCATAAACCCAAAAAAGCGTATGACAATTATGATGACTGAAAAGTAGGCTTCAGCCGCTCGTAAGTATTGTAGCACAAACCATACATAGTTTTTGTACGGAGAAATTTATCGTACAGATTATCATTACGCTTCCCATAAAGTATTTGTTAAATCTCCAAATCCAACGTGAATTTTTGGCGTTAAACGAAGCAGCGGTATACAATAACGTAGACAAATGCTATAGTGTACAGCTCGGTCAGAAAGGTATTGGTCGCCGTTGACTAAGGTCGTCAACGGTAGTCCAGTATTCTTCAATCCTCATAGTCAATAACAGTGCTAAGATTATTGTTACTACCTTACCTAATCGCTAGCCACACGTTACCAGCATCCACCGCTACGAGTCGCATCATAGGCAACGCTCGTTGTCATATACCTATCGTCACTAGTTACAAGTAGTCCCAGTTTCGTCTGCCCGTTAACTCATCTCTTCACTGTACTTCGTAGCCTGCCGCTGTCTCTGCTCATAATGATGATAGTGATCATGTCAGCGCTATAGCACCGCCCGCGCTACAATGTGTCGGAATACGGTGCGGTCTGTCTGCAAGCATCATCTATGTTGCATTTTTTACCTCGAATGTTATCGAGTCCGGTCTTCGTCTTCTTGCAGTGTCGTCTTTTCCTTTTACTCACTCATGACCGTGACTTTTTTACACAAACGGCCGCATGATGGCGGCGACGGCGGTGGCGGCAACGCAGAGATGCGGTGGCTCGCAAAACAAAGTGCGAAAAACGGCAGCAACCAACGCCGGTGTGAACCTCGTTTGCTTTCCATCATGGGCTTTTTCGCAGTTGCTACTGCCGACCTGGTCGCTTCTCATGGTTTTTCTGCCACTAGACATGTTGCTGATTATGCAACGTTCCTAGTACTTTGTTCTGCGACGTTCATTGTGGATCTTCGTACGATCAGTGCTACCTCCCAGCAACACAGAGTTCTTCCTATTTGGAAAGAAGCTTCGGAGTGTCTGCTTGGAGGGTATATCTCTTTTATTCGCGTGCCACGAGTACGCTCTTCATTTGGGCGGCTCTGCCGTGGGCTGTTGCAAGAAAGCGGTTTATTCCACCGGTCTTTTACCTTTGTTGAGTTGGGCACCAGCAGCAGACAAAGTAGTGACGATGAATATTGCACTCATTTTATCAACAAGCTAAGAAAACCAAAGGAACCACGAGCTGCGAGAGAAGCCAAATAACTCAGGTATGGAGTGAGCCCCATCGCATTGCATAGTAACGGTTCTATTCGTCATATTAGATACATGCAAGGCTACTTTCACCCGTTGTACGCTTTCATCCAGGCGTAAATTCGACACACGAGAATGTCCACACAAACAAAATTTTCTGTTAGCGTTAGCTTTTCGCAAGATACCGGCACATGCATGTAGTATTCTGGAGCAATATCTACCCTCAGAATGACGGGAGGAAAATATTGCGCGGGCTCTTTTAATCAACCCGTATCCAGCTGCTGCTGTTGCCAGGAATCATTATTCGTTTCCGCCGTTGTGTTTATATCAAGCAGAGCGATCTCCTCTGTAGCCGATGTGGTTTGTTAGCGTATGTTCTGTACCCGTTCTATATTGAATATAATAACCGTTCCCGTGACTGGCAGAGCAATAAGCAGGCCATGGGCAAGTTTCAATGTGGATACAACCAGCCACGTGATAAAGAGCGTACGGAGTGCGGCCGCCTCGACGGTGTCGTCATAACAAGTCGTCGAGAGCTCATTTTCAGTATCGTGAACTACTACGAATGAAGCAGGCCCATCTCTGCTGTGCCACTACTTCATCTCCATTTTCCGCTCCCTCGGTCACCCACCTCTTGTCAGACCTAAGCTTGTTGCTCTTTTACAGATGGCCATCGGCACCACGACGCAACTTCCGACGCGTCTCTAAGCCTTGATAGAACTTCCGAGCAAAACCGTCTTAGACGAGAGCTTTTCCCCGGAGCCTTTCCCCCCGTGCGAAGACAGACCCGAACGGAGATCTTTGTCTGCCACGACTCTCAGTTTAGTTTCTATCAGCGATCTCCCACTATACCGACGATTCCGCTACCGTCTCTAGAGCTTCTCCGAGGTCTGTTACGCTCGCGGCTAAATGAGCTGTACCCTTCAACGAGGCTTGTCCTCCTACTGCTGCTTGTAGCACTGGCTGGGCCTTGAGGCGTCATCTTACCACCCGTCCACTCTCGCTGTTTGAGCCCCCATCAAGTCGCGCCATTACAGCCCTGGCAAACGTAGCGAGCCCCTTCAAGTGCCGATGTATATTTCACTCGTCCGCCTAGGCTGTAGGGGCAGAAAACCAGTCAGCCAGGTTGTTCCGCCGTTGTTCTAATGGCTCATGGTGATAAAGGAGGACGGAACCGCTGAAGAGGTGAATCCGTGTACTCGAGATGCAGTGCCCTAAGAATAGAAGCAACATGTGCCTAGGCCTGCTTCTAGGCGCTAAAATTGGTTTGCATTGTATTCTCTATACAATTGATCAGATGGCAACTGTACGTTTCTTGTACTGCCCGTATAACGTGTTTATCTAATGACAACAATAATAATAATAAAAAGAATCGATCGATTTTTTTTCAACTGTTTCCCTTGGCGGAAGCCAGAAGCACGTCGTCCACAAACAGGCAAATCGTGTGTCACGTGTCCTTGCCGCATAACGTTCAATTCGGAGGTGATGCAGCTGTAGCTGCCGTTGATGATGTTCTATGATCGAAGTCGCATTGACCAAAGCCGTAATGATATGATGGAACATCTTTTGTCACTAGCTTGTGCTGTTTCTTACTATCACTAGGCGCAACCGTAATAGCCCCCCAGTCGGCAATTGACCAATAGCCTCTGACGGATGCCGAACTTCAGTAGATGACGACGATTTGAATAGGGGTCGGCCTCTGACACGGTGCTTGTTGTAGTGCTAAAGGCCGCTGCCACCCCAGGGCAATAGTTACCACCAAACGATCCGCTACCGGCTAAATGTGGCCTTGTGCAAAAAAACACAAGTAGCAGAAGTCCGCTGATATCTCGTCTCTACATGATTATTATCTCTTTTTCGAGAATGCTCGACGAACCAAGTGAACTAGCTGATTAAATTGCTATCTGCCATGAAGTCAACCTGGTACTGCTAATGTAAGAGAAGCAGTGAAGTAAATTTACATATGTGAAACCGAATGATGATGAGAGTAACGACGGAACTCTTTATAGTAGTAGTAGTAACGGTTATCACGCTCATCAAAACGGTTTTCACGGTTGACAGGTTGGCTGGCAAATGGGAGGCCGGCCAAGGGCCAAAAGAGCTACGAGCGACACCAATACCAACGAAGCTAACTCAAGTTATATTAGAACTAATGATCGTCGCAGGTTCCAGCAGCAGGAGCAGCTCCACAAACATATATCCAACGTCAAACACAGAGTCGAACGCGTCAGGCCCAGCGGATCAGGTGGGCTGCCGTAATGAAATGCGGAGACGCCCGGCCTCCTTGTGGCCACTACGGTGACAATGATTACGGTAGTGGTAATGGCGTTGTGGAGATGGCAGCTGCTGCCGTAGCAACTGCCATCACGGTCATCATCCAAGCGGAATGACCGCACGTGATTCCTATGCTCTCACGACAAACGATCGTGACTATAGGCTGCCGCTGGCGACCGCTAAATGCTAGTCGGTGTATGGGGTGTGTATCGGTCTGCGTGTACGCTTCTACCTCCCTTCGGCGCGCTTCCGACCGTGTGGTCCGTTGTTTGGTCACTCCGTGGCTCCGACGCTTGGCCGTCCCGTCTACATAATGTCGGCGTAGTTCACGGCGTACAGACTGTTATGGACCCTTCTTCTCATCGGTGCCAGCGAGCGCCACAATCTTGCCTCGCCGCAGCGTAATATAGAAGACGACGACTCCGACGTCGCGCTTTGGCGAAAGTAGCAGCACAGGGCGCCGCTGTTATTAGCACCGTAGCAGCACATGCTGTTCGAAAAGTGCGCGCGAAATGCTATAGCTAGCCAAATTTTTTTCTTGTTCACTTCAGTAACAACGAAAGAGGGGAAGGAACGCAACGACCGATGATCAGATTCGCGCTTAGCCGCCTTGTCGGCATTAGCGTCAGCGTCCATCAGCATCAACGTCATTGTGATTCCAACCAGTCTACCATCTAACAATCGGCACCTCTGGCCGCATTAACGCCGACGGTCTAAGGACCCTGGTATTGCATTTTTTACTATTTCTGCTGTTTGCTACAATCAGGGGGTCAGCGCTCATGGCTGCCCGTGGTCAGCGGTGCCGGCTTGCGTAGCGAGTTAGGGTGATTCACGGTGGCGTGGCTGCAATATCTTCTAGTACGTGACTACACCTCTGTAGCAGCTCCTGTATTAACAGCAGTTACGCTAGTCCATCAGTATCGTGATAAGCGGATGAGAGTAGTGATGATGTCCCTTTTATGTATCCACACAATAATTTTATCTATCTAAATGCATTTACAATATATCTAAGTTGTTTATAGAAATGTAATACAAATTCTTAACTAAAACGATCCTTCCAAATTTAGGTTGTAGGAATTGGTCTTAGTTATTTATCTATTCTGTTTTTTGCCTACTCCGTCGTCTTTTTCTTAACCGTTTATGAGAACTCATTGATCTTTTCTAGATATCGACAATTATTGGAGTTTTTTTTACTTAAATAATCTCGGTCAAACTTTTTTTCCTATCAGAGTTAAACATGTTAGCCACACTGATTATGCACAATGCACGGCCATCTTTTCTCGCCATTACTAATACTTTTGTTAGCTTTAACCCCCCTATTCGATTAAATTTTTTTTCCGGCTCCAATAAACCTA